TTAGAGATTTTTTTACTTAGTTTTTTTAGCATTTAGATTAAGTAGATTTTTAGTTTTTAAGTAGTAAAATTAAATTTAATTAATACTCAACGTGGATTCAAACATTAATTAAAATTAAATTAAATTAAATTAAATTTAGTTGATTTTCATTTGAGAGACTTATAACAATTGATTAAAAATTAATAAAAAATAATAAAATAAATTACGTATAAAATTTTTATTAAATAGACATAGAAATACGGTGTCAAAGATTGGTTCGATAACAAAAACAGTGGTGGTGCGCAATTGAGTTCATGAAGGCACATCAAAGAAGCAAAACTTTAACCCACACTTCAATAGTTAGAGCACACAGCGAGACTTTAATTTCGATTCTAACGTAGGTGTAGTCAAACCTCTCACAAATAACTATATAATGTTGAGGAGTTATACTCTTTAGCGGATACGGAATAACCAATTTACATGTATTAATTTTATGTATAAAAAAAAAACAGCAAAATGCTAGCAGACGGACACACGTGCCAGGGGAGGGCTGTGAGCGTCAGTGCAACCCACGCTGCTTCTTAATCACGCCCACACTCTCTGGTTTCCATTCCAGCACCAACCTTTGACCATGCCTCTAAAGCTCTTGTTGTCACACATGATTGAATCCTTTTGGTTTTCCACTTACGCCCCAAATCTCAATCCTTTGTTAGGGGGGCTCTTTGACTAAATAGAGATCGAAGCATAAATCCAAATATTTTGAATTCGGGTCTCATTGGTTGTAGAGATTATGTGTTTAATAGATGAGCGTAATTTACATTTGAGTTCATAGAGCAATATATGCATACAACCTTTCATCTAACATCTTTTTTTTTTTTTTGATTTGACAGTTAGAGGTGTCTGATCTAACTTATGAGTACTTTAACTAATCTCCTTCTCAGTCCAATCAAAAGTGGATTATCCAAATCGAAACTAGGGTATTCATGAGAAATAAATCTGTTATAACTTGGTCCCAATTGGTCGATATAAGTTCAAAAACTTAAGACCCGAACAAAAAGATGTTCAGACTCAACTTACTTATTAAACTAGTCTTAGAATTGAATTTAGAATAAGTCCAGTTGGACGTGTTTAAATCCAAATCCATGAAAAATTGTCAAAGTCATAATTCATATTACTTACCCAAAAAACGTCGCAATGCTATGACTTGGTAAAGATGACATTGGCTATAAATGCAAGAATTCCACAAAAAAAAAAAATAGTCTATTCTTGGCTAGAATGAGAATGAGTCGCTTCTGATGTGGCTTAGTTATCACTTATTTTGCAAGCTACTTACCCTACAAAATGGAGGAAATCCATACTTCAATGGAAAGCAACCAGTGGCAGAACAGATAGCAGAACAACCCACAACAGGCAAAACCCAAGCACTCCATGATATCCTTGTAGAATAGAGGAACACTAGGGTATTGAAGGAGGCATTTTGAGAAAAAATATTTTAATGTTAAAGGTATAATATTTTAGAGGTGCAAGTTATAATTTTTAAAGGACTTGATCAATCGCAAGATAGAATAATCAATCATGAAAATTATAATTTTTAAAGATCAAATTATTATTCTTAGAGATCAAGTTACAGGTCGTGAATGAGAAGTTACAACTGATTAAAGTAATTCATGATTGATCATAACATTTTATGATCGATTATGAATTAACTCAAATAATTATAATTTCACTTTTAAAATGTGTAATTTGACCACAAGATTTTTTTTTTTTTGGCAAGGTCTTGAAATTTTTTTCAGTACTCCATTGTTATCTTATATAGTAGAAGTGACAATTTCTGACACTACATATAAACACGACTCGAAATCAACACAAAATTAGTAGGTTATGGTTGATCATTTCTCGACACAAACCCGTAAATAACATAACATGTTAATACAAATAATAAATGGGTCAAGTTAGTGTCAAACACGAATAACACGACATTGACACGATTAACATGTTTAACTAATATTATAGAAATAAAATGTCATATTTTTATTATTTTTTCTCAAGCATTGGCTTAGTCCTTATAAAAAAAAGATGATTTTTTAGTTATTTTTATTAGTATATTTATTAAGTTAATTTTTAATTTATACAAAAGTATAAGTGCAAGTTTGATTGAGGGAATAATGTAATGTTAGACTTAAATTTAGTGTTAATTAAAGTTTTTATTCACGAAATATACGAGTCAACACAAAAACGACATAAAAATAAATAAATCAGATCCACACAACATAATTAATTAAATGAATTAGTATTAAGTTGACTATGACTCGACACAAATTCATAAATACGACAAGATGCACCCGATTGGCACGAGACGATTGTGACCCTATCCTACAGGATGAGAATGAGTCCCTAGTCAATGGTCTAATAGCTGACTAATGAAGGTGTTTCTTTTGATATGGTTTGTTTATAGACAATGCCCTTGCAGTCATGTTGATCAAAATGGCCATAGCAACTTTATCAATAACCCGAACTTAATCATATATCAGAAAGGAAAATGTGAATAATATTTAAGAAAAGTTAGAAAACATCTCTGCAAATTAACAAAAAAATCTCTCTCCACGCTCCCTTTAACTAATAGGGATCCCGTAACGGGTTATTGTAAGTGTTGGGATCAAAAAACCTTGCTCATTATATTGCTTACATGACACAATTCAACCCGATATAATATGATTAATAAGAAAATTTTGAGTTTGTTAATGGACTGAATTTTGATTTAAATTAAAAATTAAATATAAATTTGTTTGATATAAAATATTGGATTTGCTTGCAATCCAATCCAATTTATATGTAATATAAATATATGATAAAATTGAAGAGAATTAAGATGTATTTTTCTTCAAAATTAAGTTTTTATTGGATTATGTGAATAAAATCAAATTTTTAGATTAAATGTTTTTATTTAATAGATTTTCATATGACATTGTAAAAATAAAATACATTAAAATAATCAAATCTGATTTAAATCGACTCCCTATAGTGTTGAAATTGATAAAACTCAAAAATTCAAATGGTAGATCAAGTGGTATAAAAATGAGTTGTAAATACAGATGTTTTAAACTTGAATAATGAAATTTTTTTACGGTCAAGTCATGAGTGATTTATCTCCGATGAAAATTGTAGTCTCGATATAAATAATCTGTCTTTAATCAAATTAAAAAAGAAATTAGTTAAATTAAGTGTAAGTTAAAAAAAAAAACCTTAATGATAAGATAGGGTCGGAAGTAGCCGGGAAAAGAAACGTTGCATGATCAGCAGCACCCTCTGTGGACCATGAAACCAATAATAAACACTTCTTCTACATGGAGAGAGAGAGAGAGAGAGAGAGACTGCATGTGGGTCATGGGAAATTGGAGCCGGGGCCCAAGACCCAAACAAGTGGGGTCAGTCAGTGTCAGACCGTGTCTTAAGGGCGACCTCTTCCCTCTCTCTCTTCTTCTCTGCTACTTCCAAAACCACTGCTTATCACTCTAATGTCCAACAGCTTGCATTAAATGACCAAAGGCCACTGATTCTCCGTCGTTTTAACATTAAATGAGGGAAACTTTGTAACGCTTCTCGTCATTCATCACCAAAGGACCAAAGAAAAACCAGAGCAAACGTTCTTCATCAGTTTTATTTTGTCTTCTACCTTTCTCTGTCGATCACCATGGATGCAAGACTAATTAGCAGAACTGCTTAATTACCCTCTACCTTGAGTTTGTTGGACTTAAACATGGAGTTAGTATCTTTCTCTGTGAGTTCAAGAAGTAGTCCTACTTTGAGTTTGTTGGACTTAAACATGGAGTTAGTATCTTTCTCTGTGAGTCCAAGAAGTAGTCCAAACTATGCATACGTTCACTTCATTTGCAGATAATCAACTGCACATATATATATCTAATCTATATAGGTGGTAGGCTGGTATTGGAACAGTGAAAGAACAAAGCAAAAATGACGCAATAAATAGAAAGTCGCAAATTATTAACTGGTTTTTTCTTCACTCTTTTTTTTTTTTGGGTTTACTTATGTTCTTCTCGTACGTTTGTTTCAAGTGGATGCTAGGTTTTCTTTTGAATTTTGTCTCCAAACATGAATTTATGTGTAGAAAGTGAGAGGAGTACAGGAGGGAGGAGGAGCAAGAGATTAGAAGGAAGGTCTCAGGTACAAGATTTACAATCGAAGAGTTTCATTTCTCCTAGTCCCAGCTCCTAGNAGAATTTATGTGTAGAAAGTGAGAGGAGTACAGGAGGGAGGAGGAGCAAGAGATCTCAGGTACAAGATTTACAATCGAAGAGTTTCATTTCTCCTAGTCCCAGCTCCTAGGCTTCAAGTAAGTGTGTGTGTGTGTGTGTGTGTGTGTGAGAGAGAGACAGAGAGAGAGAGAGAGAGAACGTGGGGTGTTGTGGCCCAATGGGGCTAACTGGCTAAGGAACAAAAGAGAGGAAGTAGGGTCCATTGCACCGTCCATGCGCACGCTGTTTTACCCAAACTAAACCCATCATCGATCCAATCCCCCTTATTGAGTCTTGACCTAACCCTAACCAAAGCTAAACTCTAAACCCAACATAAAAAGAACTACCCTCCAAACGCTCACCTCCCTCCCTCCCTCTCTCTCTCTCTCTCTCTCTCTCTCTCTCGTTCGTTCTCTTGCTTGTTCTCTCACTTTTCCCAATTCCAAACCCTCACCAACAGCCACAAAATCGAAACTCATAACAGTCAGATAGCTATCACACGAGGTTAGAGATGGAAAAGATAGAAAATTCAGCCGTTTCAGCTGAAAATTTGCTGGGAGATGCAAAAAGCCCTTCAAACTCTTTTCTGGTGAAGGTTAGTAGCATTTGATTCATCGAACACCCAAAAAAAATGAAAAAAATAACATTTTCTCAGTGAGAATAGAGATTAGAGATGTACCCAAAAATCCCTCTCTCTCTCACTCTCTCTCTCGCTTAGCCCAGATCTTGTATGATTGAGGAAAGCAGAAACTTCTGAAAAGCTAAGAAATGGATCCTCTTACAGCACATGGCCGTCCTCTACCACCACCTTTCCACTCTAGAGATCTTCAGCTCCACCACCACCCCCACCAATTCCAACACCACCAACAGCCAAAGTCTGAAGATGAACTAAGTGGAAGTAGCAGTCTAAATCACGGCCAAAAACGAGATCGTAACGATACTAATATCACCACCACCAGCAGTCCTAATACCAACACCACCACAATTGATAGCAAAGAGTTGGTCCCAGTCTCCGGAGAAGGAGAAGCCGCCGCAAGAAGAGCCCGAGGCAGACCCGCTGGTTCTAAGAACAAGCCTAAACCTCCAATCATAATCACTCGTGACAGCGCAAATGCACTCAAATCCCATGTCCTTGAAATTGCTAATGGTTGTGATATTCAGGAGAGCTTATCTACTTTCGCCGCAAGAAGACAAAGAGGGGTTTGTATTTTGAGTGGAAGTGGCACTGTCACTAATGTAACTCTAAGACAACCAGCTTCACCTGGTGCAGTTGTGACTTTACATGGAAGATTTGAAATTCTCTCTCTTTCTGGGTCATTTTTACCACCTCCGGCACCACCGGCGGCATCTGGGTTGACCATATACCTTGCTGGCGGTCAGGGTCAGGTGGTTGGCGGCGGCGTTGTTGGTCCTTTGGTGGCTTCTGGGCCAGTGGTAATTATGGCTGCATCTTTTGGAAATGCAGCATATGAGAGGCTTCCCCTTGAGGATGAATCTGAACCGGTTTCAGTCTCCGGAAGTGGTGGTCTTGGATCGCCGCCTCCCGGAATAGGTGGCCAGCAACACCAACCGCCACAGCAGCTTATTCCTGATCCAAACACAGCCCTTTTTCATGGGATGCCGCCTAATCTTCTAAATTCATGCCAATTACCAGCTGAATCTGCATATTGGGCCACAGGTCGCCCTCCTTTTTAATCAAAGAGAAACCTTGTTTTCCTTCCTCGAGAGTTCACTATCCAATCAGTTTGGATTCTTCATTTCTTCAGTTCTGATCTCCTTTTACAAGCAGTTGTGTTTATGATGTCAATCTGGTTATAATTAGCTTGCTTTTGATTGCTGAGGGATGTACAAATTCCTGAATTCTTTGTGGGTTTTTTATATCAGAATAGCTCTTGCAGTTCATGTCATAAGAGCTAGGAGCAAAAATAGGAGGATTGTAAATCCTCCCTCCCTCCCTATCTCTCTCTGCCTTGCAGCTTGGTATGTGGTCTAATAATATTCATTCGCTACTAGCAGAAAAAAAAAATCACCTATTTTTAGGGTCCTTTTCGGGTGTATGGTTGTTTGTGTAAGTTTCCTACTCTGGTAGATCATGCAGATCCTATGAAATAACACAAATACAACCTCAAAAAACATCTTTTAAGAACCTACACTACATTTTGGATTCATAGGATTTCTCTACTTAATTTATCCGCTTCTTTAATCTTATTAAAGATTGAGCTTTTTTTTCAAAAACACTAACCATCAGAACCAAAAGATAATTATGAGATTGAATTTGTGCATTTAAACAATTGACAGTTTCAAGGTTTTTGTTGTTGGGTTTTTTTTTTTTTTTGGTTGGGGGGGGGGGTTGGTAAGTGACAACTTCCTTGCTGTATATGCGCAAATGGATTGGTGTGATGAACAGCCAGATATGGGCTCAAGGTATGCTTTCTTGATCTCTCTTCTGAGTTCTGATCTTGTAGGGTTTGTTATGTGAGCAGGGGAAATGAACATTTGGTACTGGGTTGCACGTGCGCTGCTCTGAACCAGTGTCTTTTCGAGGCAACCAACACTTCCATATGAAGGCATCAACAACTAGGACGAACAAGCTAGAACGTTAAAGGTTTCTCTCTCTCTCTCTCTCTTGTGGGTGTGTGTGTGTAAGTGCCAGCGCAGTAAATGGGGGGCAAAGGACCCAAAAGTAAGGTAAGTAATCAGTTTGTCTGGATTCAGAGAATGGGGCACTTTCAGACCCCAGCTCTGGTTCACTGCACTGAAATTAGATCTACCTTAATTTATATCAGCATTCATCTCTATGTCTTATATTTTATGTAGTATATTCTTTTTTTTTCCCCTCCTCCAGTCCTCCTCTTCTTCTTCTTCTTCTTTTTCTCGTGGTAAGGTCTAACTTAGTTCATAGTTCTTCTTCGTATGTCTTCTTCTTTTGTCATTGCTTGTCTTGTCAGAAACTTCATTGATGTGGTTCCAGCTTGGAGCACATCTAGCTAGGTTTTGTATCTTATAGAATTGTGTTCTTAAACTCAAACTTCTTCAATGCTTTCAAGCCTGAGAATATGTGTTAAAACTGTGTCAACCTGTCCTGTCAGGTAGAGTTAATATGAAGTGATTATCTATGGTTTCATCTATAATCTGTTTTGGCGGGACAATTCCCTTCTGGCTCATAATGAGATACCACCACTCGATTCGTTTTACAATTTTCTACTCATGCATATATCTATATATGCATACATAGATAGTGATACTGTTGGGTATTTTGTCACGAACAGATATTACATTGCTTTTGCTTCATTTTCAGAGTTGTCCCCTCTGCCCTTCTTTGAAATGGGTAAGGGTGCTAATTTTTTTTTTTGGTTCAACGATAAAGAGTATTCGAATTAATATACTCGTACCTCAACTAATCTCTCGTGTCCGGGACAAGGGTGGCAATTTTGTGGGGTTGTTTGGTTCGGATATATTATGGGTTGATATGATGATATTAGGTAATTTATTCAGATTTAGTTCATAACGATGATATAATCGGTTAATCATTTTATCAAATCTGAGTTATACAACTTTTGATTTTTAATTTTTTTTGGGTAAGNGATTGGTGTGATGAACAGCCAGATATGGGCTCAAGGTATGCTTTCTTGATCTCTCTTCTGAGTTCTGATCTTGTAGGGTTTGTTATGTGAGCAGGGAAATGAACATTTGGTACTGGGTTGCACGTGCGCTGCTCTGAACCAGTGTCTTTTCGAGGCAACCAACACTTCCATATGAAGGCATCAACAACTAGGACGAACAAGCTAGAACGTTAAAGGTTTCTCTCTCTCTCTCTCTTGTGGGTGTGTGTGTGTAAGTGCCAGCGCAGTAAATGGGGGGCAAAGGACCCAAAAGTAAGGTAAGTAATCAGTTTGTCTGGATTCAGAGAATGGGGCACTTTCAGACCCCAGCTCTGGTTCACTGCACTGAAATTAGATCTACCTTAATTTATATCAGCATTCATCTCTATGTCTTATATTTTATGTAGTATATTCTTTTTTTTTCCCCTCCTCCAGTCCTCCTCTTCTTCTTCTTCTTCTTTTTCTCGTGGTAAGGTCTAACTTAGTTCATAGTTCTTCTTCGTATGTCTTCTTCTTTTGTCATTGCTTGTCTTGTCAGAAACTTCATTGATGTGGTTCCAGCTTGGAGCACATCTAGCTAGGTTTTGTATCTTATAGAATTGTGTTCTTAAACTCAAACTTCTTCAATGCTTTCAAGCCTGAGAATATGTGTTAAAACTGTGTCAACCTGTCCTGTCAGGTAGAGTTAATATGAAGTGATTATCTATGGTTTCATCTATAATCTGTTTTGGCGGGACAATTCCCTTCTGGCTCATAATGAGATACCACCACTCGATTCGTTTTACAATTTTCTACTCATGCATATACCTATATATGCATACATAGATAGTGATACTGTTGGGTATTTTGTCACGAACAGATATTACATNCCCAACAAGCTAGAACGTTAAAGGTTTCTCTCTCTCTCTCTCTTGTGGGTGTGTGTGTGTAAGTGCCAGCGCAGTAAATGGGGGGCAAAGGACCCAAAAGTAAGGTAAGTAATCAGTTTGTCTGGATTCAGAGAATGGGGCACTTTCAGACCCCAGCTCTGGTTCACTGCACTGAAATTAGATCTACCTTAATTTATATCAGCATTCATCTCTATGTCTTATATTTTATGTAGTATATTCTTTTTTTTTCCCCTCCTCCAGTCCTCCTCTTCTTCTTCTTCTTCTTTTTCTCGTGGTAAGGTCTAACTTAGTTCATAGTTCTTCTTCGTATGTCTTCTTCTTTTGTCATTGCTTGTCTTGTCAGAAACTTCATTGATGTGGTTCCAGCTTGGAGCACATCTAGCTAGGTTTTGTATCTTATAGAATTGTGTTCTTAAACTCAAACTTCTTCAATGCTTTCAAGCCTGAGAATATGTGTTAAAACTGTGTCAACCTGTCCTGTCAGGTAGAGTTAATATGAAGTGATTATCTATGGTTTCATCTATAATCTGTTTTGGCGGGACAATTCCCTTCTNTAACCTTAATGAATTCAAACAATAACCAGATGGGAAAAATCCATTGACACACGAGTTTACTCTAAGCTGAATATGCCAACACACACAGACCCATGGTATGACCTGTCAATGACTGTTAATAATATGTCAAGTTTAGGTTGACTAAATTTTAATATGGCATAATTCAAATACAATTGTAAACCCGACTTGACAAGACTCGTTGATAGTATACCTTACACAATTTTTATAGATAAAAACTTAGGCTAACTTGTGTAGGATTCTGGANGGAAATGGGCAAGGGTGCTAATTTTTTTTTTGGTTCAACGGTAAAGAGTATTCAAATTAATATATTCGTACCTCAACTAATCTCTCGTGTCCGGGACAAGGGTGGCAATTTTGTAGGGTTGTTTGGTTCGGATATATTATGGGTTGATATGATGACATTAGGTAATTTATTCAGATTTAGTTCATAACGATGATATAATCGGTTTATCATTTTATCAAATCTGAGTTATACAACTTTTGATTTTTAATTTTTTTTGGGTAAGTAAATACAGCTTTTGATTTAAGGATGAAATAGGTGTAGATTCACTGTCCTAATTATCATCTTATGGTTTGATTGGAGACTAATTGTCCTAATAACAATCCTTAGATAGGAGATTAAGATTCGAAAGTAAAAGTATCCTTGCATCCATTCCCATAGAGGTCCTCTTGTTATTTCTCATCCTAACAAATTTTACACCACACATCACCTATGATTGTTTTCGTCTACTGATTACTGTTGTTTCTCAACTGGGGGGAACTCAATTGCATCATCCATTCTTTTTTCTCTCTTTTTATTTTTATTTTTTAGCATTGTTTGTTTTGGGAGGAGACGTTTACAAAGTAAATATTAAGTATAACGGTGACATTACATCATCATTATTACATAGTNCTCTCTCTTTTTTTTTTTAGCATTGTTTGTTTTGGGAGGGGACGTTTACAAAGTAAATATTAAGTATAACGGTGACATTACATCATCATTATTACATAGTGTCACTATCCAATTTATTTACTTAGATGTTAAATAATTATTAGCTGATTACACCGCGGAATTGTCACGTGGTGTCATTAAATATGATATATCTTATAATTCAAAGTTGGTAATCCTTAATATGTAGGAGGAATCAATTAGATACGAAATTAATATGCATTGATTCGATATGATATTTACCTTAATGAATTCAAACTATAACCAGATGGGAAAAATCCATTGACACACGAGTTTACTCTAAGCCGAATATGCCAACACACACAGACCCACGGTATGACCTGTCAATGACTGTTAATAATATGTCAAGTTTAGGTTGACTAAATTTTAATATGGCATAATTCAAATATAATTGTAAACCCGACTTGACAAGACTCGTTGATAGTATACCTTACACAATTTTTATAGATAAAAACTTAGGCTAACTTGTGTAGGATTCTGGATTGAATCTGAGAATTGTCACTTTATGCAAATAATCTCGAATATTAGGTCTAGATCCGACCCACCACTCTCAACATTATCAATTAACGAGGACCCTTAATTGCCACCCATGACGTTTCTTCTCCACCTGCTAGTATTAATAAACTAAATTCTACAATAATCACGGATTCACCAACAAAACTAGATCAATCTACATTAGTTCTTGCGTTCAAAACCTGGTTACATTGTTATGATTTTAAAAAGATTATACCCAGTGTACAAGACTCTTATTAATTTACAATCTTATACGAGAGCCAAGACTCTTATTAATTTACAATCTTATGCGAGAGCCTGATTCAGAGACACGGGTCAGGGAAAACAAGAATCCAATGGGTGTGGGGGGGGGGGGGNATTATTAGCTGATTACACCGCGGAATTGTCACGTGGTGTCACTAAATATGATATATCTTATAATTCAAAGTTGGTAATCCTTAATATGTAGGAGGAATCAATTAGATACGAAATTAATATGCATTGATTCGATATGATATTAACCTTAATGAATTCAAACTATAACCAGATGGGAAAAATCCATTGACACACGAGTTTACTCTAAGCCGAATATGCCAACACACACAGACCCACGGTATGACCTGTCAATGACTGTTAATAATATGTCAAGTTTAGGTTGACTAAATTTTAATATGGCATAATTCAAATATAATTGTAAACCCGACTTGACAAGACTCGTTGATAGTATACCTTACACAATTTTTATAGATAAAAACTTAGGCTAACTTGTGTAGGATTCTGGATTGAATCTGAGAATTGTCACTTTATGCAAATAATCTCGAATATTAGGTCTAGATCCGACCCACCACTCTCAACATTATCAATTAACGAGGACCCTTAATTGCCACCCATGACGTTTCTTCTCCACCTGCTAGTATTAATAAACTAAATTCTACAATAATCACGGATTCACCAACAAAACTAGATCAATCTACATTAGTTCTTGCGTTCAAAACCTGGTTACATTGTTATGATTTTAAAAAGATTATACCCAGTGTACAAGACTCTTATTAATTTACAATCTTATACGAGAGCCAAGACTCTTATTAATTTACAATCTTATGCGAGAGCCTGATTCAGAGACACGGGTCAGGGAAAACAAGAATCCAATGGGTGGGGGGGGGGGGGGTGTAAGAGTAGTCAAATGCAAATCTTTTCAGTCCAAAATGTCCTCGTTACATCGTACAAAATGATGGCTCAGTGAATTGAATTGTGCTTTGAACATTATAACATAACAGCAAAATACATTTCATTGATTGAAGAAATCGATTTATACAATATAGTACTCAAAGAAACCGCGTGCATTAGGGTGGATCTCCCAACTAATATATCAAAAACATCGCGGTTGATCAATAATCAATTTAGGTACAAACAAAGATTACAAGGCTAAGCCCTTACCTAATTTGAAAAGTTTCTTGGAGAATTCTCCAACTCGATGATCCATTATTTAGCGCGATATGAAGGTACTGCTTTCAAGAAGCTTTGCAGATGACCACGAAAACAACCCAAAGAAACCCATCACAGTTGTGGTTACATCTCTATCCTTAAGCGCCGCAATTCAGTTTGGAAAGTTGGACTTGAAGTAAGAGTCCTACGAGCAAGAGCCCTTATATCCTCACGAGAGCAGTCACGTGAGATACGAACTAGCTCCCAGAGGGCACCTCCACTAATCATGTCTTTTGCATTCACTTCTGAAAGAATCAAATTAAGGGGGAAAGAAAAAAAATCAAAGAACAAGGTATTGGGATATGTAGGTTTCTCAATGAGAAGTAGGTAAGTCTACTTACCATGTTGTGCTAAGTGACATAGTGCAAGCTCCGTGTGGCGCCTGATTAGTGATGCTTCATTATTTGCATTCTGTACAATCCACGAAAGTGCACCATCTTCTAGCAAAAGAGAACGCCCTGTTTTCGTGCCTGATGAGGTACAGCAGCATAGTAGTATCACGATACTCATGCTCATAAATATATTGCTTATATTCCTTTTCAAATAGAGCATCTCTTTTTCTGTATCTTATACTCTAGTAATGTTGAAGTCATAAAATTATAATCGTGTCATAAATGAGAAAGTATCTGCTGGTAAGTGGTCGTGTATATGAATAACTAACCAATTTTGAAAGTATATACAATTAATTGAAGGATACATGAATATATCAAGAAGACGAAGTCATTTCAACAGTAAAGATAAAAGTATTTTTGCCTGCCTAATGAACCTTACCTTGAGTAGATGCACGAGACTCGCATTTTGCGAAATTCGCAATTCCACGGGCAACTTGGGCAAGAACATCTGGATGTCTACACCTCACCATTCCTAACAAAGCCCTAATACCACCTTCAGACCTCAGTCTCATCTGTAGCTTATCTGGGAAACCAAGATGCATAAGAACACAGTATATAGCTGCAAACTAGAAAATCAAGAGAAAAAGTGAACATATAATCTGGAAATATTTGCAGATTTTTTGATAATATAGCCAAATGTCATACATCTCTGAACTGATCAGGCTTTTATGAACTGTAGAGTTTTTTAGTGTTCAACATTCCACTTAAAAAAGGATTAATGCAAAAGAGAATACCATTGCCACATAGATTAGCAATAGCTCCAGCAACCATGCGCAGAGTCTGAGGATCCTCAGCATCAGCAGCTGTCATTGCCAACAGACCAATTCCACCTTGAGCCATTATAAGTTCCTGATTGGCTTCTGAGAGGACAGGAGAAAGAAAAACTGTAAAGGACTATACGCTAAAAATATGAAGGAATTGCAGCCCCAAGAAAAATAGCACATAAACAAAGGCAAACATGCTCCAAAATGTAAGAACTGACTGAATACACCAATGGTCCCTTAGATATGCACTAGGTTACAATTTGGGCAACTTTGGTTCTTGAAGTTCAAAATTTGTGTATAAAATATTAAATAGTTGATGACCGTTTAAAATGACAATGTAATTTAGTATACGCTGACACATGTAAGGGTATCTGAAGGCCACTCGGTGGAAATAATTTTGAAGACTCACCAATGAAAATTCTCTCTCTCCCCCCTCTACTGCTCGTGAGTAAGTACATTCATGGGTAGGTGTGCTTACTCTTCACTGAATAAGTGTGTGCCAGCACGTTTCTTCACAGTGAGAGTGTCTAGTGGGTTCATGGCTGAGTGCCTGGTTCGTGGATCAGTGTGTGTCAAAGACCTGTCTCACATGCACAGCACCTGTGGCTGGTCAATTATTTTCCACGAAATCCCCTTTAAGATTCCCTCGTGTGTGATGCACGTGTCAATTTGCATTCCCAACTTACATAAGAAATTATCTATTGTAATTGAACTTTACTTGAGGGACATTACGGTATTTGGTCCTTCAGGAAAACAGACAAATGAAGATAAAAATGAATAGTTACCATTCATTGCAAGATTAGCAAGTGCGCCCGCTGCTATTCTGCAAATGGTCTCATCCTCAAAGCTTCTCAGTAGCATCAGCAAGGAAGTCAGACCACCGGCTTCAACTATCTTCTCTTGATTTGCTTCTGCAGTGTACAAAGTAAGCACACATTGTTCCCAGTAAATCAAGGAAAATGATAAACAGATATAGTCATAGAAATTCTTTACATTTCATCAATCCTGGACTTAGTAAGCAACATTGGATAATGATGTTAAACAAAATGTCAAACATTACAATTAACATTATAAACAATTTACATAAGTTAACTTGGAGTATAACTTCTACCCTAGGTCACTCGAATAGACCAATCTTGATTTACTATTTAATCGAAATTATTGGAGTAAAAACCAGTTAAGAAAGGCATCATTGCTATATGTTTTTCATGCAGGTGCAAACCCAATTGTGTCGGGGGAGTGTTAGAAGAATGATTGCAGAACATATCTGGCTTTGAGAATCCCTCTGTTGGACATTTTTATCAGAGGTTCGTATTAGTTCTTTCATGGTCAAGTCAATATATTCCCCACAATTGCTGAAACCAAGAAATTGAAAATAATCTGTCCATTAAAAAGGGGAAAAAGGAATTGAACTCGTACGAGCATCTGTCAGTGGCAAACGGAATGTTTTAGGGTAACTAACATAAACATCAAACCAGTGTCATTACTTGGAGGCATATGGAAAAGGATGAAGCCAGTAGTTCATGACTGTAGACATACAAACACATATATACTGAAAACTTGACTCATTTTAGGTTGATTGCTGAATCAATTAAGCACCTGACACTGACAGCTTCAGTTGATTAAGTTGATCGCAAGATAGAACCAATGAATAAATGCACATGCTCATGCTATGCAAGTTAAAACAGATCTTCTTCTCTATAGAGGTGTTGAAAACAGTCACCGAGCAATCTAGGAAAGGGGAAGTAATAGGAGTAAACTTCAGCATAACCCGGATATTTGATATGCAGCTGACATTATTGAGGACCTTTAGTCCAAAAGAAAGAGATATCAAATAACGACCCTAATGCCAGAGAATGTACTTACATTATGTGTCTTTAATAGATAGATAACGATGAAACCAGAATAACACCCGGGACTACATATTCCCCTCTTATATCTTTCACAAAGCTGAAGTACTAATAATTATGGTGAACCGAATAGCCATTTCATGGATAAAAAACCTTAACAATGAGCAAATACAAGAGCTTCAGCAACCCACAAAATTTGAAGACAAGTGTGAGGAGTGGAATAGTTTATTATGGGAAATAATTTTTTTCTTGGCTTCTTTTCGGGCATCGGTGTCTCCTCATTTTGCAAGAATTCTTGTCCTTGATTATGTTTTTTTTTCTTTTATTACCAATGAAAACCATTGTAACTGATGAAAAATTACCTGAAAAAAGTTATGATGATCAATAGCTTGTCACGCAGCGAAAAAGAGAAGTATCTTATAAGAAAGTATTAGAAGACAATAAATCACCTTCAGCTGCTAGGTTGGCCACCACTTTTACAGCATGAATACGTACATTGGCATCTTCTGACTCCAGCAATGACAAGATCTTTTGCAATCCAACTGTAAGTTTGATGGAAAGGAAGAGTATAAGAAAAATATTTTTCAGATAGGGCTATTTGATCTTAACTCTATGCAAGCTTCTTTCACACCTTGTTCATGGAGGTTGGCAATTGATGCTCGATCTCCATTTACCCCGTCATTCATCAGTGGATGTCTAATCTGAGACGGAGAATCTAGACCTGTCAGGCCATTCCCCGTCCTGCCTCTATCAAGACAGCTTCTAGTCTATAAACACCGGGTCAAAGTTAGATTACATGCAACTGCAAATATACATTTGTGCTTGTGTATTTTGGCTGGGGGTACACAATTCTTGGACTCATTGCCCCCAAAAAACTAATAGGTAATATCCTAGATATGCAGCAAAACCTAATAGCTTCTAATAACCAAACACCCAATGGTTCCCCGACCTAGACTTCTCATTCATGTGCTAAACAAATGATTCTCATTATGATGCATATATCAAAGCTCAGACTCCCCTATTTGGGTGCAAAGAAAGACGTTTAACATACTTATAGAATACAAAAAATAGGATCAAGCATTAAAAAGTCGTTTATGCAAACAGCATACCTGACCAGCTTCGAAAGTCAGTTGCGACAACTGACTTCGTAAAATCATCAGTTCTTCTTCCAGTTTCTGTTTCTGATGAGTCTCATCTTCTAGCATTTTGTGAAGATTCAATAAATCTAAATTTCCACCTGCCTAATGCACCAAGATGATCCGTTATACACAACCGATCTTACAGTTCAGAGATTGAAGCAAACAATATGATGCTGTTACAACCAACTCATGTACACGAGGATATACCACACCTCTGGTTTTGTAAATTGAAGTAGTTTGCTTTGAAGGATATTGATCTCCTCTTCAGCTGCCTTTTTGGAATTAATTTCATTCTGAAGCAACTTTTTTAGCTCAGAAACGTCATCAGTAACAGAGGCCACATGCCCCTGCACACAAAAGAGGAGCAGTTTGGTCATCCTAAAGGAACTGAACAAACAAATAGTTAGCCAGGAGTCTTGTACCCAGAAAGGACAAAAAGAAAAGGCAGAGTAGTTTGCACTTCTATTCGGGTATTAAAGACGAGAACTTGTAAAGTATAATGAAAGTAACTATACATCAAATCAAAAGGATCTATTGATGCAAACCATTTGTCCTAACTTCAATAAAGCCATCATGATTTCATAAGGGTGATGGGGGCCCATCTACCTTCAAAGTTTATGCAGATTGCTCACAATTACTGTGAGGCAATGTTGAGTGAGATGATTCTCAATCGTGTCTTTCAACCAATTCACATAACAAGGCAAAAGAATAGAAATATTGCATTATCAGCAATACAAACATTCCTTCCAATCAATTCTTATAGCATGGTAACTATTGGATTATCAACACATATAGGACACCTGTGAGGACTTGATAATGCCTTTTTCATGCTGCAAATTGTTTGTCTTTAGTTGCATTGGTGGAAGTTTGTTTGCTATTAGAGTTAATGTCAGACTAAGGTCTATAAATTCAAAGGAGAGCCACAAATTCGAAAAAATGAAGTTTTCAGAATGGTGACTCCAGAAAAATTGAACATACAGGAACACTGATATATCAGTGTGCTCCTCATCTGCTTAGTTGGGCATGCATAATGACCTATACATTGGTGTCTCTGACTCTCTGCATTCAGTTATAGATGTAAGATGAATTTTGCCATTAATAGGTGCACAGGATACTAAAACAAATGGCCTGTAGAAAGACATTACGAAAAGCAATCCAACAATTAAAATCTGGCACAAAATAAGACAGCGTCATATACACAGAAATATGCAATCCAATTTAGAGTACCTCTCCCCCATATGTGCCACCAATGGAACCGTTGTTGCCATGCTTTTGTTGATTGCTAGTCCACTTCTCCTCAAGCTTCTTAATTGAGTCCATATAATCCATCTGGCATTTAATTCTCTCCCTCTACAGAAAAATATAAAATTGAAGTGGCATTTGCAAGAAAACTTAAATGAAATATTAAATCAATGATCTCAATCTGTTATGTGTGAAGCATACATATACTAATCATGCTAGACCATAAGTGAAATCATTTTAGAATTTCGGTGGAAAATGTTCATAGGCAAGAGACAGATATTATAATAATACACCCTAGATCAAAGTCAAATAACTTTAGGATTTCTGTGGAATTGATGCATTTGTTCATAGTCAGAACACAGATATTAGAACTAACATCCAAAGCCTCCGCATAGTTCCTTTCAGCCTCAGAAATACGCCTCTTTGCTTCCAGGGTTATTCTTTCAACTTCATCCTCAAAAGATTTCTGCTGTCTTTCATTTTCCGCAATGAGTTTGTCAACCTGAATCTCAAGCCTTTTACAAAGACTTCTGTAATCAAATTCCTCTTTTATTTTCAACATATTCTCCACCTTCATAGCCTGTCAGACAGGGGAAGCAATAATCAGGCATCCACTCATCACTCATGTAATATAAAGGTCCACCTATCTCGGTAATAGACCAGCTCCTTGTCTAAAATCAGTAAGGGACCACATCTATAACAGATTCAAACGGTCTGTGGTCCATATTCTAAGCCCTTCAGAACATAGCTCACCCTTTGTCCAAACAATATGGTACTTGCAGTCTCTGCTCGATGGCGTGGAGATGGGCCAATAGTCACAATTAAGGAGGTCCTCGCTGTGCCTGCAACATAAGAAGAAAATGCAGAGTAAAACAAATTCAAACACCAAATCAAAATGCTAGGTTTCCACCCACGAAAATATGTTGAAGAAACAAACATGGAGTGGGTGCTAACGGATAAATGATATTATCATGTGAGGTGGAGAAATAATGAAGTATTTACTAGAAGAGGAGAAAATCAGAAGATTATTATCCATTACACATAATGCTATTATATCAACCACCTCTGTCCAGTTAAAGCAGAAGCTTAAAACTGACCTCCAAATGAATCTCTAAGCAACCTTGTAAGTTTGGAATCTCGAACTGGTACATGAGCACTATTTTCTGCCAGAGCATTTATGCACTTCCCTAATGCGCTTAGTGAGAGATTGATAGACTTTGCTTCTTCTAACATGTGTCCCTCACTTCCTGCAAAAAAGGAAGAACAATTGTGGCATTGCTAAGAGATAAAAATCACAAAAAACAAAGGATGAAAGGACTAACTATATTGAGATTTATAAGCATAATCAACAAAATGCTCTTATAAAACTCTNGCTCCTCATCTGCTTAGTTGGGCATGCATAATGACCTATACATTGGTGTCTCTGACTCTCTGCATTCAGTTATAGATGTAAGATGAATTTTGCCATTAATAGGTGCACAGGATACTAAAACAAATGGCCTGTAGAAAGACATTACGAAAAGCAATCCAACAATTAAAATCTGGCACAAAATAAGACAGCGTCATATACACAGAAATATGCAATCCAATTTAGAGTACCTCTCCCCCATATGTGCCACCAATGGAACCGTTGTTGCCATGCTTTTGTTGATTGCTAGTCCACTTCTCCTCAAGCTTCTTAATTGAGTCCATATAATCCATCTGGCATTTAATTCTCTCCCTCTACAGAAAAATATAAAATTGAAGTGGCATTTGCAAGAAAACTTAAATGAAATATTAAATCAATGATCTCAATCTGTTATGTGTGAAGCATACATATACTAATCATGCTAGACCATAAGTGAAATCATTTTAGAATTTCGGTGGAAAATGTTCATAGGCAAGAGACAGATATTATAATAATACACCCTAGATCAAAGTCAAATAACTTTAGGATTTCTGTGGAATTGATGCATTTGTTCATAGTCAGAACACAGATATTAGAACTAACATCCAAAGCCTCCGCATAGTTCCTTTCAGCCTCAGAAATACGCCTCTTTGCTTCCAGGGTTATTCTTTCAACTTCATCCTCAAAAGATTTCTGCTGTCTTTCATTTTCCGCAATGAGTTTGTCAACCTGAATCTCAAGCCTTTTACAAAGACTTCTGTAATCAAATTCCTCTTTTATTTTCAACATATTCTCCACCTTCATAGCCTGTCAGACAGGGGAAGCAATAATCAGGCATCCACTCATCACTCATGTAATATAAAGGTCCACCTATCTCGGTAATAGACCAGCTCCTTGTCTAAAATCAGTAAGGGACCACATCTATAACAGATTCAAACGGTCTGTGGTCCATATTCTAAGCCCTTCAGAACATAGCTCACCCTTTGTCCAAACAATATGGTACTTGCAGTCTCTGCTCGATGGCGTGGAGATGGGCCAATAGTCACAATTAAGGAGGTCCTCGCTGTGCCTGCAACATAAGAAGAAAATGCAGAGTAAAACAAATTCAAACACCAAATCAAAATGCTAGGTTTCCACCCACGAAAATATGTTGAAGAAACAAACATGGAGTGGGTGCTAACGGATAAATGATATTATCATGTGAGGTGGAGAAATAATGAAGTATTTACTAGAAGAGGAGAAAATCAGAAGATTATTATCCATTACACATAATGCTATTATATCAACCACCTCTGTCCAGTTAAAGCAGAAGCTTAAAACTGACCTCCAAATGAATCTCTAAGCAACCTTGTAAGTTTGGAATCTCGAACTGGTACATGAGCACTATTTTCTGCCAGAGCATTTATGCACTTCCCTAATGCGCTTAGTGAGAGATTGATAGACTTTGCTTCTTCTAACATGTGTCCCTCACTTCCTGCAAAAAAGGAAGAACAATTGTGGCATTGCTAAGAGATAAAAATCACAAAAAACAAAGGATGAAAGGACTAACTATATTGAGATTTATAAGCATAATCAACAAAATGCTCTTATAAAACTCTGAGCATCTGAAGATAATCAACCATCCATTTGCAAAATTTTAAGGTCTGACAATGACAACTACCAGATAATTCCAACTTGTGCATTCAAAAAAAAAATCCATTCAAATTGCATGTGGATGTTGATTGGCAACACAGGCCTACTAGGAATTTGTTTCATCAAATGAGAGCTTACAGCTGATGCAGATAACCCATAGAACAATTAGCAGTTACACCTTATATGGGTGGAAAACTTATTTCTTGCCGGGAGTTAAGATCACCGTATTGGTGCCCCAATCAAACATCATACAAAAGGTAATCATTCAACAAACATTTTTGCTCAATTCCAGTAAAAATCCAAAAATATCGTAAGTATAATATGTCCCACAACAAACGGGGTTGCATGCGCCTCTGAAAATCGAATAAACACAGAATTACATTGTGAAGGAAAATTGAAGATATTGAGTGCTTTGTCTGTTCAGCATGTAAATCTTCTTTGAAACTCACATAATTAGGCCTTGAGGTGTCGGGATGGCATTTTGTTCACAACAATGGTTTCCCCTCACAGTGCTGATCAGAGAATATAGATATCTTTATCACAGTTCAACTTGGAAACCAGCTGCCCAACATGGCAAGTTGGCAACTCATGAAAATCTAGACATAAGGACAAGTCTCAGTGCCGGAGCCACATGATGCTTTGTGGGGGCAACTGTCCCCACTCAATCTTTTTTAAGAAACAATTTTTTTATATGATTTAATATTTTAAAATCTGCCTCTCAAAAAAGTTCTCATGCACCCTAATCCACTTAATAATCTTTTACAGTTGGGTTAAATCTCTAAATTTTCAATTAAATAAACTTAAAATACAGGTGATTTAATTGAATTTCATCAACTTGTTTACAAGAAATCATCCTAAAGCTCTTCATTGTCTCTCCTTATATCTTGCCTGCTCTCTCTCACCACTGGTAATTTGGATATATTAAGGACAATATTACTATTTGGGCCTAATTAGTTGATTTACTCCATTGTTGCCCTTGGTTGCCAAATGGGTCCCTACTAGGATTGACATTCACTCAATTTAATGGTTATGTTAACTAGGTCAGCAAATTATATTAATAAATCAGGACCTCGTAGCATTATTCAATTGAGAAAAACATGTTTAATGACAATGATAATGAGATTATCATACAGTGATTTCCAAACGTAAAAACTAGTCAAGAACAATTGAAAAAGTACTCAATTTAAGAATTACATACAAGTTTTTAAGATTTTGCACATGTTATTAGTTTAATTTTTTATCATCACATTGGAAAAATTGTCCCCTCTACTGAGAATTTATAGCTCCGTCCTGAGAAGGTTAATATGCAGTTGATTGTTGCACTAACATATGCAGTGCACAATGGTGAAAATAAAATCACATAGCTGACGTCAAATAGTTAGGGTAAGGCTTTGTTGGGTTGAGTTGAGTAACATATACACTTCTCCACACAAAATATAAAGTCAACATGGAAAAACGTTTGAATTCAGCAATGAAGAAAGTAATGTCAACATTAAATCGCGTAACAAATGGAAAACACAGTTGTTCCACACAACTTGAAAGTCATGAAAAGTGGACTCTATTTCAAGTAACCAGACTACCAAAGAATGGTGACATAAGTTGACAATGAAGAATCCAAAGATCTTTATTATAAGTAGCTCTAACTTCTCAGGTCCTCCATAGAATTCATGTTCTCTTGTATAATTCAGGTCCCTCTCAAATCAGAAGAGCTAAAATAGTTGATGAAATGCTTTTCAATTATTTTAGGAGTGTCCAACAGAGGTTCATGGACAAAACTGAACTTCAAAACATGAAAATCAGATGGAATGAGAGCGATTGCACTTTAGTAGCAGTTTAGCAAAAATTACAAATTACAAAAGGTTGTTAATCATTCTAGGAATCTAAACTAGATAGTGGACATGTAACTTAGAAGGCATACAAACTCGCATGAGCTAAAATGTGAGCATGGAAGAAGTCAAAACATTCCATACGTGAAAAAGAAGCCATGAAATAAGAACTATCAGTTATATGGTAGAACACATTAAAATCAGCAAATTATAAGAAACTTCATAGTCTTGGTGTTGCACCTGACTTGTGAATACGCTCGGAACCAGCAAGATCTACAACAATTAGTTTGCCTTTCCGAAGCATAGGCGGCTTCAAAGTATTGACCAAGGGGGAGGCTTTGCCGTTGTCAATTGAAACGTCATCTTCTCTTTCCAAGATGGACCTCTTAACATGTACCTGCATCAAGCAAAAATACACACACATATTATAATTCACTTTAAAAAAGGTATCAACAATGCCATGAGAAAAGTACAAAGAGTTTGACCTTTAGGCACACAAAAAAAATTCATTATTAAATAACAACTCAATCATTTACCATGAGAATAGCATGACTACGAGAAGATTCAGTATTCAACTTTGTGTTAGCAGCAATTCGATGAGCTTCCCCTAAACGTAGTAGCTCTATGAAACTCTGTTGATCCCGGATTTCCACAATGGTTGCCCCTGGTAAAGAAACATCACCAGTTTTTGGATCTTCGACTATAGGGATATTATCATTTGATGGATTTAGGAGATCTTGAATAGTTTCCATATAAAGCTGCAGATCATTAGTTTCACATCAAAATTCAATAGTAGTACCTAGATACAAATATTCAATGTGTTGTACAAACAAAACAACCTGCAAGTATGAAACCAAGACAGAATCAGTCTCTAGAGAGAGATTTGCAAGTATATCCTCCATTGAACGAACCATGATACCACGAGCAGAGGTGTCTTCATCACCAAGGCGACCAAGAGTAAAAGTCTTCCCAGTACCGGTCTGACCATAAGCCATCACTGTCCCATTGTAACCATCCAGGACACTCTAAAAACAGAAAATCCATATAATAATTGATTCATAAAGTTCAACAAAAGAGAAGTGAATAAGATATGACTTTGAGGAAGCCCAGATGGATGCCAAAGTTCCACTAATTTGAGGCATTGCAGATGATAAGATTCACCCATTTCATTATCGTCAATTCGCCATGTGTCATTGATTAGTCATGATCTCGCGATTTTTTGGATTTATATCTATTTTCATGCATCAAAATCTACCACATATAAGTAAATTATGAGTGATAAGATTAACTTCAAGGTGTTTTACAGGAACAAGAATGCCATCATTAATGCACGGATAGATACATCATGCAATACACTTGGAAAACATTAAAAGAATAAGTAAAGAGCTCAGACCTAGAGACCTACACGCAGTGCCATCTAAACTATCTAGTCAGCAACTTTGCTAGACGAAATATCTAGACTTATAACATCAGCTTACATTCACAGCTTTGAATAAAAAACTACAGAGACAGTCATCAAGCATATTCTTATTGGGAAAAAAAAACACAATAGATAAAAGAAAACAACTCCAATTTTGATTTCCATGTCAATATTCAATAGCAAAGGTGCCTCCCAATCACAAGAAGTCTTTAAATAAAAAATACCAACTTAAAAAAATTATATAACCAAGTCCTCAATGTTTGCCCAAATAAAAGCATAAAGAAAATTTAATGGCAAATAAGACATATACAACAAACAAAACACACCTCCACCACAGGCTTTGCAACAACTTCATAGACACGCTTCTGTGAAGCAAATTCAGTGAGCAGCTCATCAAATTCATAGGTGTCTGAATCCCAATTATTCTTTCGAATTTTCAACCTTTTAAGCTGAAATAGAGAAAAAAAAAATCAAACAAATTATAGCTCCGTGACTGAGTTATTGACCGTAAATGTGAACTTAATACATGAAACTGAAAGTATAGCTAATTTAAAAAATTAACATCTAGATACTCTCTAAATGGCAAGACGGATAGTATTGTGAACCTCTGGCTGCAATTCCACACAATCAGCAAAATCTGCATCTGCCACCAACTCCTCAGCATTTCGAGGACGCAATCTTACAGCAACTCGAACTCTTCCAGAAACTGTCAACAGTTACCATAAGATACCATTTCAAACTAATCACTCGATGTTAGGTGTTGGGGGTTACAGAGAGACTCAAATAATTTTAGCAATTAATTCATAAATTTTCAAATATAGACATTTTTTGAAGCCAGGAAGCATTGTGGATATAAAAACAAAAATATCTGATTTTTTTCCAATACTGGGGCTCAGTTGTAATAACCATAGGACAACCTTTACTAGTGGATTGTTCTGTTGCTATACTGTCACGTTGAAAATGATCTTTCTGCTATGTTGAACACTTAAAACCGCACACATGTCAGGCAAATCTGTGCTAATTTTGGTTGAAAAAATGTAATTGACTATAATTTAATGGATGGCTCTGGTTATTGAGCCTCAAATCAAATTTCAAACTAGTTTTGAAGTAGGTTTGATTTTTGCATGGTCAAGGCATTTAGACACATGGAAGAAGGAACTAGTAAAAAATGTTATGACAGGATAGGAAGACTCATGAAATCAAAAAACTTTAAGGTAATTTTTTATGTTGGAAGAAAACCCGTTCAAGTTTCATTGTTATATAAGCTAAACAACATTGTCTCAATAAAAGGTCATGCCATCAAGCTAAAGATCATTTATTTCCAAGTTAGATAACATTTCGTGATCCGAGTTACATATGTATAAATTTAGATGTACTATAAATTAATCCTGGATACTCAATCATGGTATGAAACACTGGATGAAAAAATGTTTTCAATCATAGTTAAACAAAAATCATAAAATTCTATAGGCGATCATATGGTTCATAGTTTCTGTTACTATACAAAATTTTGCAAACGGAAAATACAACTATTTTAACATTATAAATAAGCACTTCATATAATAAGTGTAAAACTGCACCATTATGAGATTTCCTGAACTGGAAATATAAAATAAAAAAATTTCTAGCAACATCTTGCAGCAGAAAAGAAAGTTTGGCATTGGAACACATTCACAATGATCATAACCAAGGAACTCTCTATACTATTAATAAAAAGGAAGCTAATGAGAAAAACTTTTGATTTTCTATTCCATCCATTCTTAATCATATAAAGACAATTATATCCTACTTACCACTTTAACTCTTACACCCTTCACTTTCTAAGAATAAATATTTGTAATTATAAAATTAAAAAACAATATAAGAATAACATGCTCTCCTTCCAAATTCTCACTTACCACGAGTGAAAAAATTTCTCTCTTTAAATAATAGAAACTACTGGTATTGTTATTCTTCTCTATAAGAGCAACTCCAAAGGGAGTTGTCATTTTGGGGTGCCAAATGACCCATTTGCAACCTTGAACAGTGTTTTGGCACCTCTGAATTATAAATATGCTCCAATGGTAGGTGTCAAAATGGGGTATCATTTTATTATTTTAATATTTTTTATTAAAAATATAATTAAAGTTAACGGTTATATTTTAACGGGTATAATTTTCATAACAATTGCAATTTAACGGATATATTTTTATAATAAAAATTATAATTTAAAATTATAAACAAATTATAAATTATAAATTACAGGAGCAAATTAAATTACAATGCCTTCACCTTTCCCTTGCCCTCTACGATCCCTTTTCCCTTCTCCTTCCCCTTGCCATCTGCAATCCCTTTTCCTTCCCCTTCCCTCTGCGATCCCCTTCCCCTTTCCCCTTGCCTCAGTGCTTTTGCGCCTCTGTACCTCCTTCCAACGATTGAAGAAAAATCAGGAGACAAGAGCTTATAACAATTTTCACGGCAAGCTTTAGTAAGTTTTCTCCTTCAAAATCTCTGTAAACTCTTTATATTTATAGAATTTTTTGGTTGAATAGAGCCGTTGAACATAGCCATTGAGATTGAACAGTGTTTTGTGAAAAGCTTTGCAACCTTTCCCTTTTTCTCTCCAGAGTTGCCAAATTTGTCACCCCAAGAGCCTTGATGCCATTTTCCAACCCTTGGAGTGAAAATTTTTGAATTTGGGGTGGTATTTTGACAATTATAGGTATGCCACTCCCCCTTGGAGTTGCTCTAACTTCCATAGCTCCCTCCATTTCTATGTTTTGTTATATTTTTTTTTTTTTGCCGGTTGTCATAAATCGTATGAAAGTAAGACTATAAACGATATTAAAGATGATGAGCTCAAAGTGCAATAATTATTGGTTGTTTATTTGATTATTTTTTTTTTTATCGGTGCTTAACTTCAGTTGATGTTATCTTACTATCAACTATTGCTTTGATGTTTTAATCTAAGTGTAATCTAGAACTTTAAGAAAATGTGATCTGTCTTATTCACTATTTATATTCAATTTCTTTTATTTATTTAATTCTCAATTTTAATTTAGAAATTTGAGTTGTCATGGTCTTGGTGCATGAGATTAATTTTTGTAACTATACGCAAATTCTACTTATTAATTATATTTTTATTGACTTCTATCGAGTTTTAATTCATTTTTTGGTCTTCAATTGTCAACATTTATTGTAAGATTGTAATTTTTTCCTTTCCAAAGTCAATATTCTTGATGAGAATTCTGCTAAGTGTTGCTCACACCATGGTAGGAGTAAAATATTTGAAATATAAATTTTATAAACAACCAATAAGTAATCAAATCAACGACCTGATGCCTTTCTTTTACATTTTGTCTCTTTTACTTTCTAATTTCACACTTATTTTATGCATACATAAAACTACAAATATAGAGATAATGCAAGTAAAAAGTAAAAAATAAAAACTAAAATTATAATTCAAAATGGTCACCAACTAGTAAAGATAGAAGCCAGCATAAGATCACCCAAAGCATATGCTTGATAGTAAAGCGTTACTTCTTCAAAACAGTTCGCGATTTCTTGACAAACATAGTGTAAATGATTTAAACCTCCTAAGTGAGGAAGTTTTTTTTTTTTTGGCCTGGTATCAACTATCAATTACTAAGATGGTCCCAAAAAGAGGTTTACCAAGCCATTCTACCTTTCATCAAAGTTATAGAACTACCTTGGCAAACCAAGTTAAGAACTAAAATATTAGGATAAAAAAGTGCTGCCCAAATTTGTTTACCAAATCTTGCCCCAAGTGATGTGTCAAAATCTCATGCATTAAATATTTGATGGAGTTAGTAGACCCCACTAATCCAACCACCTACATTGATTTGAGATACAAAATTTGGGCAACAATTTGGTCGGCATAGCATTGCTCGGAATATTAATATACATGCACAAATTAATGCAAATAGTAGATACTAAATGTATAGAGTACTTCAGGTCGTGGCGTTGGAATTAAGAAACTATCAGCTTAAAAATTGAACTAATTTCCCCAATTCCATTTTAAAAGGCCCATATTCCAAGCTCCCAAAAGCATCGCAGACTCAAGCCCTAATGTTACTTGTAGAATCGTGTCCTAATGTCACTTATTTGCTTACTACAAATAGTAACTTCTGTTTACCTTAAAAATACTAAAATTACGAATTCAATCCATGAACTGATTAACTTGTTGCTTGTCCAATGAACTAATCAAACTATTAATACCAAAGAATAACCTCAAAATCATAATGTAATAATGGCTTCAGTATAAAATAAAATAAAAGGTCTCTAAATCGCATTGTAAAATCAAACTCAATATGATCTAAGAGAACAGGCTTCTACATCGCAATGTGAAAACAAACTCGATCAGGAACTAAATTAATTCCAGATTAGTTCTTCGATCTCATTGAAAGAAGAATCGCTTCTACAAACAAGTTCCTAGATCGCAAAGAGTTTAGTTAAAGAACAAAATTGAACATCAAAGTGGGACGGAACTAACCAGAGTCTCCTCCGACAGAGGCCGGGCTGCTCCGGCGGACATTCGAAGTTGCTGCCGGAGGAAGCTTCGATTTGAAAGAAGATGACGTTCGCAGGTTCGATCCCCTCTGAATGCCATTTCTGTAACCTCCACCTGAGGCCATCACTGTCTCTCTATATCTCAATTCAAACGCATATACAGAGGAGAGAGAGAAAGCATACGACAGAGAGTGACAGTGGGGAACGGAGGGGTGTGCTTGTGCTGGTTTTAAGTTCAAACACAGAGAGAGAGAGAGAGAGAGATGGGGGTGGGGTCCAGTGGCGGTGCTTTAGCGGGGAGAGAGAGAGGGAAGAAACAGAGACGGTCGAAAGCTGGAGAGTTTGTATAAATGTTAGGAGAATTGCACCGACGTCTCTTAAGTTTGCCCGTGATATTTAAAATATTATATATAAATTGTCGAAGTTTGTAGGCACGCAATACTTATACATCTATCATCAATATCAGTTAAAATATTTATTAATAAATTATATATAGATTTCTGAAATTTGTATGAATATAATATTTAAATTCTTCAAGTTTAAAAGGTTATATTTAGACCAAAATTTTCAAATTATAAAATATTTTAAATTTTACAACTAAATTTCATGTTTTATTTATTGAAATAAAAAAAAACTAATTTTTTTAAAAAAAATTATAATTAGTATATAACTATACTATCCATTAAAATTTAATTTGATTATTTAAATGACCAAATTAAAATACTAAATTATCACAATTAAAACTAGAATATATTGTGTTCATTACAATTTGACCCCTTGTTTAATTTTTTAGTTTTATTCTAATAGATAGTATAATTGTATACTAGTTGTGCTTTTTTAAGGAAAAATTAGATTTTTATTTTTAATTTTATTTCAATAAATGACATAATAGAACACAAATTTGATTATAAAATTCATGTTTTATTATGAATGACTTAGACCTCTTGTTTATTTTTTAACTTTATTTCAATAAATAGTATAATCGTATACTAATTACAATTTTTTAAGAAAAAAATAAATTTTTATTTTTGATTTTATTTTAATAAATGTCTTAATAGAACATAAATTTTTGTTCTGAAATTTAAAATATTTTATATTTTATATTTAATTGAAATATTTTTTGTCTAAGTATAATATTTTAAATTTAAGTAATTTAAGTAGTATATGATTATAAAATTTAGAAGATTTGAGTGTAATTTATTAATAGACATTGACGGCAGGATCTAAGTATTATGTGCATATAAATTTTAAGAGTTTATGTGTGATATTTTAAATATTAAAAATTTGAGAGATTAAATGACAAATTTTAAGAGGTTTGAATGATATTCTTGTTGAATGTTAAATTTTAGAAAAGGGAGAATCTTCCTTTCAACTTAAAAAGATTTAAGATTTTTTATTTTTTATCCTTAAAGATTAAATTTCTCACACATGTATTAAAATTTAAAAGTATTGAAATATAATACTTTTGTTAACCATTGTTATGTATTCTGTCAAAAATCAGCTCATTGATATTGACAAATTGAACAACATAAGCTAATAGAAGATTAATATTGCCACATTCAAAGGTGTAATTTTTAATTTTTAAATTTTTTTGGGTATAAAATATAATTCACCTAAATAATTTTACTTGTCTTCAATATATTAAAAATATTATAATCCCACCATTCCATTAGTTTTCATTACTTATTTTATCAAAATTTCACTTATTGACATTGACGAAATGATAAACAAAAATTAACAGAATTGTAATATAAAAATATTTGTAATATATTGAGAGTATGATATAAAAAATTTAATATACTAAATAAAAAATCTTAAATCTTTATGAATACGAAGTGTAATTCATTCTAAACTTATTTTGGGACAAACTGAATAATTTATAGGAAATAATTTTCACGGACTGGCCATCTTGTCTTACAATATACATTGATTACGCCGACCGGGTGTGTGCATTGTGGAGTGGGTATTGTGCGGCCAGTGAAAATAACTAAACTGCCACTCCGTTGCCCACGATGTAACACTCTCTTAAAAGATGTGCGAGGTGTGCAAAATCAAAATAATCGAATTAAGTAATGCAGTAGTCCCGAATTTATACAATGATAATTTTTTTAGAGTCGGATAATGTGAAATTTAATTCTTATAAATAATTTAGTTTTGACATAAATTATTTATTTTTAATCAAATCGAAAAGAAGATTATTCAATATACACGTAAGTTAATTTAAAACACCTTTACCGTTGAATTAAAAAAAAATTAAATTAAATTACGTCTTAAACACGACATAAATCATTAACCTTTTATATATATATATATATATAATATAATTTAAATGTCAAAAGATAAATAAAATAATTTTTACTTTTCGCTATTGAGATCTCTTTAACTTTTACTTTAAAATTAATCTGATGATTAATATTAACACCCCAAATTTAATAGGGAAAATAGACTATTAAGGGTGTATTTGGGGTAATTTTTTAAAAGTGTTTTTAAAACTTATAATTTCTCATAAATATTTTTAAAAAAAAAAGTAGTATTTGAACCGGTTCCACCACCACCATCTCTACCACAACAACAACCACCACCACCATCTTTGCCACAACAACAACCACCACCACTATCGTCGTCATTGTCATTCCATCACCACCACCACCCCTACCACCATTACTACTACCCTCCCCACCCCCCCCCC